ATTAGATAACTTACCGGCATTATACTGCTTTGCCGGCATTGAAAGTATATATAAAATCATGCGCATGATTCTACAATTTCATGTGCATCATGCGCCATTGCACATCACTAGGTATATGGTAGGTATGACCAAGACCAATTTTGGACGAATCGACGTACGTACAGGAGTCTAGACACTTTTGCAGTAACGTGATGTGGCGCATGAGAAATGGCCAATCGGGATGCGTAAATTTTGATCGTCCCGGATCAGCCCGAAGTCAAAACAAAACACGTGCGCAAGAAGAAAAAAAGAGGAAAAAGCGAAAATACTCAAAAACTAGTGTTTAAATCGGCCTTTGGTTACTAACAAGAAATGTCGGGAGCGTAATTTTAAATATGGGGATGATCTTTCAAGGCCTATAACCACGAACCCTAACCAGAAACATAACATAAAGCCAAAAAAGCTTATCCGAATGTGCCACGATACGTTACTACAAAAGCGTCTAGACTCCTGGCGGAGTCTACAAGTCTACGTACGTACGTACGTACATCACTTAATTTGCCGTATAACACTTCGTGAAATTTTCAATATCACTCCGTTCCTGGTATTATCAACAACTGGTAACTTCATTATATTATTACACTTGCTACTGTGAAATTTTTATTTTCATTATAGAAATCATTGAGACAGCTAAGAATGAACATTCTCTACATTATAACCCTATTTTATTATAAATATATTGAAATAAAAAATTATGAATTATCATAAAAAGTACTAAAGTTTATCGGTTAAAGATCAAATATAAAATAAATTCTATCTTTAAAATAATAAAATTTTGAACGTTTGCATTCGTAATTATCTTAATTCTCGTAAGACTTATTTTTGCACAAAACTAGAACTATCATAGTCAGAAAAATACAAACCTTGTGTAGACATGTTCTGTCCACTTGGATTTAAAGTTTCGCTTATCTTTATGTCAATAAGTTTACTCATATACATATGTCTCGGATGAATAGATAATTCGACTTTTGGTATTATTTTATTGGCTTCCAAAAATTGTTTTTTGATTTCGTTATCATCATTCAGTTCTATCACATCAAGCCAATAATTAATATATGAGCTTATGACGGTAGCCGTCGGTCTTTTATTTGGATCTGAATCCATGCATCTCTTGGCCAATTTTACATAGCATTCTGGGGTTTTTTCACCAAATTCTGGTCGTTCATTTTCATCACAAATTTTTGAATCAAGTTCAATATTAAAAGGAATGCCATCAAATGCTCTTTTTCCAGAAGATATCTCAGTCATAATAACACCGAAAGAATATACGTCAGCTGCTTGGGTAAATTGTTGACCCCTTAAAACCTCGGGAGCTACGTATGGCATGACACCGTGAATTTTACCATCTTGTTTAATATCAGACGACGTTGAAAGACCCAAGTCACTGATGTATGCATTGTGCAAAAGATCTTGCAAAATATTTCCAGAGTGTAAGTCTCTATGGATTAATTCCTGGGAATGAATGGATTCAAGATCCGAAGCCACACAATACAAAAGATTTAACTTTTTTTTCCAATCCATTTTCACAACTTTAGAAAGGTTTTCACGCAATGATCCCTCCTTTGCATATTCTAAAACTATAATATAATCTTTTGAATTTGGCTCCCTTGATACTCCATAGCATTTTAAAAATGATGGATTTTCGTATCCAATTTCACTATAATTTTTTAACTATATGATATTTAAATCACTTAAACGACTTTGAATGATGAAATAAAAATAAGTACAAATATTTAAATAATATTACCTCGTCAACAAATTCTTGATTATATTTATATGAATTATGAATTAATTTTAGTGCAACTTGTTTCCGGCGATTTTCATTTTTATCAATCCATTCTGCAAAATATACAGTTGCAAATCCTCCTTGTCCAATTTCATAAACCTTGTTAAATTCATTAAAAGGAATCCACGATAGTTTAAACTTTTCGTCATTTATTACTTTCTTTAATTCGTCGTAGTCTAAGCCTTCGTGTGATGCATCTGTATTTATCTTTTTTATATTTCTTCCCTTTCGATACCAACGATTAGCTCGCTGTATGTCCCTTTCTACTCCTATTCCTTTTCTATAACAGTCTCCAACTTTTATCATTCCACTAATGTTTCCCATATCTGCTGATTTTTTAAAATAAACGAACGCCTTACGTTCATCCTTTTCAACTCCTTTTCCATTTTCATAACAACGTCCAACCATATATATTCCAGCAGCATCCCCCATCTCTGCGGATCTTTGATAATAAATGAATGCCTTATGTTCATCCTTTTCAACTCCAATCCCATTTCGATAACAATATCCAACATTATGCATTGCCTTAGCGTCACCCATCTCTGCAGATTTTTGATAATAAATGAATCCCTCATGTTCATCCTTTTCAACACCAATTCCATCAAAATAACAATCTCCAACATTATATGTTCCACTAGCGTACCCCATCTCTGCAGATTTATGATAATATATGAATGCCCTATGTTCATCCTTTTCAACTCCAATTCCATGATGATAACAATATCTTACATCATTAGTTGCGGCTGCATATCCCATGTCCGCAGATTTTTGATAATATATGAATGCCTTATGTTTATCCTTTTCAGCTCCAATTCCATAAAAATAACAATCTCCAACGTTATATGTTCCTGTAGCATGCCCCATCTCAGCAGATTTTTGATTATAAATGAATGCCTTATTTTTATCCCTTTCAACACCAATTCCATTTCGATAACAATATCCAACATAATATACTCCATTCGAATTACCCATCTCTGCAGATTTTTGATAATAAACAAATGCTTTATGTATATCCTTTTCAACCCAATTGCCATGCTCATAACAAAATGCGAGAATGAATTGAACCATAGTATCGAGCTGATTAATTAAGCAGTATTTGATAATATTGTCCGTATTTGCTTTTTTCTTACTAGAAATTGTCCTAAGGCGTCAAGTATTGACCTCTCACTTTTGCCTTTCAAATTTTCTTCATTATACAGTTTATACATTTCTTTAATGATTTCATCAAGAAAATCCTGAGACTTATTTTCTAGATATAATTGGTTAACTTCGTTGGATATTCTAGTATCATCTGATGGGTTGTCGTTTGTTTCTGATCGTTTTGGAATTGACATTTTTGGCGCAAAGAAAGAATATGTCACACAGAATTATTAATGCGAAATGATGGTAGATCACGTGATCGAAATAAGTAGCAGTCACACGTCTGCGCCTCCATAATGCCATCATAGGTAAGACCAGGCATGTGAGAATCAGTAGATGGCTAAAAGAAGGGGGTGCGGCGTACGAAGATCAAAGACTAATAAGGTTAACGATAATGGAATATTGAATACGTATGGAAGAAAGAACTCATAAGTATATAAAACCAGATACAACGAAGCCAGTCCACAAGTGCTTGAACGGAAAATTCGCGCGACAAAATAATGCAAGACATTAGAAAGTCGTGAAGAGGCTCATCGAGCGATGAATAAATTTGGAAAACTACTTCATATTTAAGGAGTCATCAGCATTGGATACAAATGGTGCAGAAGCATTAAGATATCGTGAAACTTATTGCATGCTAAAGAATATCCAGAATCAATTCGGATATTTAACAAATTATCAGCAATTAATCTGAACAAATGTTCTTGCATTGAGAAGGCACTGTGCAAAACATTGGATAACGGACATGTATTCCTAATAAAAACTTTTTATCTAATTTTTGTAGAAAGATTGAAAACTAAATTAATATACAATTTTAATACAATTGTGAGCATCCATTCGTATACTAAACATGTAAAAATTTTATTTAGAAATTTATAAAATGTATACTATATATGTTATAAAGTAGAATATACTATAGATTAGAATAAAATAAAAATATAACTAAATACAATATATATAAATAAATACTAATTAAATTTGTTAACTTACAGCGACTCCTTTCCACCATTTTTTGAATTAATACCAACAAAAACTGTATAAAATTAAGCAAATTTTTTTTTTAAAGGAAGCTGTTATGGGTTATGACGTAAATATTTAAGGTTTATGTTCGTAATAATTGAGTGGAAACTTGTTTCAGCGGATCAATATATTATTACGTATAAGAAATTTATAAATTAATTTGATTGGAAGTTCTCAGTTTTTTAAAATATCTGACTTTTATTTCATATAAATAAGAACCAATAAACGAATTAAGCGATAAGCTTCAAAATAATTAAAAAACACGAATGCTGATCAGGAGCAAAAATGATAAGCATAAGTCCCAGTGTATCTGTTAATACCAATCAAATTTGATCAATTGATCAGCATAAATATGCCGAGTGTTTCGTGTTCAATGGTCTAGCCCAGATCTACTTTAAATGAATTATTATTGTGTAGATACGTATGTGTGTATTTATGACTTATGGGAAGCACAACAAATTTAGGTTACAATTAGAAAGTATGTTCATGATTTACGTGGCCATTATTTGTAACGTGGCTAAAAAAAACAAATTTTGGATTATCTGGTCGTTCATATCGACCAACCGTTTCCATTTCTACATTAGTAACAAGCAAGCCTAAGCAGATTTAAACGAAAAATTCGCAGATCATAATGAAATTCGATTTCTTTTTAAGCTTATAAAAACCTACTTATAACAATTTATTAAAAATTTTGTCCTTGAAATTCCAATCAAAAAATTGTCGACGTGTAAATTTCAAATTAAAATGAGACTTTAATTTGATTTCATTCTAATTTGTCATAATAAATATATGAAAATTTAAGACAATAAAATTTACGCTCGTGGAATAAAATTTATGCTCGTGGAAGATAAGTAAATTAATACAATTTTGTCATTTTTTATGGTTAATGAGTCTTGGCATTTTATAAAATCGGAAAAATTTTATTAAACGTTCCAGATCAATATGATTAACCCCTGTGATTATCGAAAGTTTTAACAGATGTTAAGAGGATTACTTTAAAAAAAAATAATTTTTACTATTCTGACGATTCATTATTATTATCAGTAGAGACAATTTTAGGAATATTGATTAAAGAAGTTGCCAATAAACGAATCGATAAATTTCTGATTTCGGCTAATGAGCTTTTTTTACTCGTTTAATTCAAAAAAAAGAAGTTTTATTTTTTTTATTTATTTAATTTTTACAAAAAAAAAGTGAAGCGATTATGCAATTTAATTCTATTTTAGTAATGTGAGAATGACAAAAATGAGTAAAATACATTCAACTAGCGTGTCTCATCTCAGCTAATTTTTGATAATGGATGAAAGCTTTATATTCATCTTTTTCAACCCCTATACCGTTTAGATAACAATTACTAAGACTATATATTCCATCAGCATGACCCATATCAGCAGATTTTTGAAAACAAAGAAATGCTTTGTGTTTATCCTCTTCAATACCGATTCCATTTTTATTACAATGACCAAGACTATTCATCCCGGCTGAATCACCCATTTCAGCAGATTTTTTATAATGAAAGAAAGCCATATCTTCATCCTTTTCAACACCAATCCCATTTAAATAACAATAACCTAGATTGTTCATTCCAGTAGAATTACCCAAATTTGCAGAAGTTTGAAAATGAAGAAATGCCTGCCGTTCATCCCTTTCAACCCCAATACCATTTTGATAACAAAAGCCAACTTGAGATATTCCACCAGCATTTCCCAAATCAGCCGATTGTTTATAATAATTAAAAGCTTTACGTTTATCAATTTTAACACCTATTCCATTTTCATAACATCGACCAAGATCAAATATTCCAATAGGATGACCCATTTTAGCGGAATCTTGAATATAACGAAAAGCTTTATTGACATCTTTCTTAACACCAATTCCACATTGATAACAATAACTAAGACCACTTATTCCATAAGAATTTTTCATTTCGGCGGATTTTTGAAAATAAGTAAAAGCTTTATGTTCATCTTTTTTAACACCAATTCCAAATTGATAACAATAACCAAGATTATTCATTCCAGTAGAATTACCTAATTCAGCCAAATTTTGATAATGAAGAAAAGTTTTATGTTCGTCTTTTTTAACCCATCTTCCCAAATAATAACAAAAAGCAATGATATTTTGAATTTTAGGATTAGTTTGATTATTTAAACACCAATTAATTAAATCTTCAGGTTTTAAATTCCTAGTAGCTAAAAATTGATCCATTAAATTTAAAACGGAAGCAGCATAATTTCCTTTCATTTCTTCAACATCGTAAAGATTACATAAATCATCAATGGTTTGTTCTAAATGATTTCGAGATCTAGGATCATTAAATAATAAAAAATTTGAATTTAAAGGAAAATTATTTTTACTTTCAGAATTTTTGAATGTAAAAGGAACATGAGGTTCGTTGGTAATATTAGTTAATCTTGTTTCAGTAAACATTTTTTTGAGTATATGAGAAATAGATAAATCATACGCTTATGCGTGAGTACTTATCAAAAAAATACTTAGGCAAATTATAAATTGATCACCAATCATTGGAGCACGTTTTTAAAATCTATATGTTAACTCATGCATGTTAAAATTTATCGTTATTATCTCCCTTATGTGGCACTTTGTGTTACGTACCACAACTAATTATCAATTGATAAAAATAAATATTTGTTATACTGTGTGAGCCTTTTCCTGTCATAAATTTGGAATACGCGGCAATATATATAAAAAAATTAATTTTTTTTAATTACTATTTCAAATTATATAACAGAAAAACGCTAAATAAGTATTACAGAACAAAGATTCGTGAATAAAAAAAAAAATGCGATTAGTAATGTTTATGTTTGGCAATTTTTTAATCTTTTGTGTTACAATCTCAGTTGAAGTATTTTACGTACATACATATGTACATATTATACATATTGTACATATTATACATATTGTACATATTATACATATTATACATATTATACATATTGATGCGCAGTTTAAGCACCAATGGTTAATCTTAGTATATCAGTTATGAGACTAAGTAACTCTAACTTTTAGGATCATTTGACTATTATTTAGAGAGAAAACGGTTATTAAAAAAATTTCGAAAAACCCCTCATTGTTATGGAAAGTCAAGTATCTTTATAAATGTTCTGGAAGAAATCTTCCCCGACGTTGTGCAAATGACCATTATCGACATTACCTCATACCATCTAAATAAGATTAGGATGCCCACAATGGATATATAAAAATGGACAAGGTCTAGTCATACGAATCTTCTTTATGCATGCATACTTTTTTCACGGGATCTCCTGCAATTAGTGGTAACACCCTCTAAATGTCGCATGATAATATGTCACGTTGTGACACTAAATAATTAACAGTATAATTTTGTGGTACGTAAATAGTGAGCTTACTGTAGGAGACCTGTTCTAAGCATGATAATAAACAAATATGAAAATGAGATTATTCTCAAGTATACAAAGCAAATCATAACGACATAAAAGGAAGTAGGAAAAACAGGTAATTTATTGGCCTCACCAACGTTGATCAGATATTAAAGTTAGAGATAAGGCTTGATGTGTTCATTTCACAATCAATTGCACGACGTAGTCGCGTTAAAACCAGTAAGGCATATACAAATTCAGATAATCATGCAACACGAATCAAGTTATTCTTTAGTGAATCATACGTACGTTCCGTTTCACTATGTTCCTGGTACCACTTCAGAAAGTTCGGTTTACTTAATCATTAAAAAATTTAAAGTTCAGCTGAAACGGTGTTATTAAGACGGTGTTATTAAGGTTGTGTTATTAAAGTTGTGTTATTAAGACGGTGTTATTAAGACGGTGTTATTAAGGCGGTGTTATTAAGGCGGTGTAATTAAGGCGGTGTAATTAAGGCGGGGTTATTAAGGCGGAGTTATTAAAACGGAGTTATTAAGGCGGAGTTATTAAAACGGAGTTATTGAGTATCGGTATTTGGCTTATCGTTATCTAAGTTCTGTTTTAAAAAAAGGTTGATTGTAGTACACTTTTAGAGCGTTAAGCTCGTAACATTGTTAAATTTTCCAAGCGTATAAATATTTTTAGTTTGCATTATACTTGGTTCCAAATAAATTTAGGTAACGATAAAAAATTTTATCTTCAGTGCAAACAATAAAAATCCATATTTGAAACACAAAAATATGCATTAATATACTATATATATACGTATTTTATCAATTAAAATTATAAATCTTTTTTGATGAATTCTAAATACGTATATTAAAATATTTTTGATATATATTAGTTTAATAAAAAAAAAAATAGAAAAATTAACAATAATTTCTTGTTGGATTTTAGGGTTAGGAAAATAAACTCCACCCTGAAATAAAATCCCGTCCCCACTTACAATATATTTTAGAAAAAAATTATTTAAATTGGTGTGTCATTACAATATATTTTAAAGAAAAATTTATTTAAATTGGTGTGTCATTACAATATATTTTAAAGAAAAATTTATTAAAATTGGTGTGTCATCTTATCATTAATGCTTCAGAATGAAATATATATGAGTGCACCAAGGGAAAACCTACAATCGGGCATTCAATTAATTTTGTATACAATTTGTCCCTTCAATCATCGGACTTTCTATTATATTTTGTGACAAAATATAATTGAAAACCGATAATAGAATTTCCCTAGACGGTAGTTAAATATAGATGAAAGCACGATTGTAGGTTTTTCTTGGCACACTCACAAAATGTAAGTAACAAATAATAATTAAACTAATAAATGTTTCTTATTGTATTTATTATGAATTGTATTTAACGTATGTACGTATGTATTCAAATACTTTTTATTCTAAGTAATATATACTAATAGAGAGAACACATACTTCATATAGAAAACAATGTGTTAAAATTTTGATATTTTATTGGGACCATTATTATTTTGCATAATCAATATCATTTTTAGTATTTGACGCCGTTAGTACTCAACATATTTGTACAAGATTCTTATGTGCAGTTTGTACGTACCCTATATATGTATAAAGATTATCAAAAATTAGTCAGTCTATTAGTTGATTAAAAAACATTTAGATAATCAATTAATTTTACGTAAGTACGTACGTACGTAGTTGATTAGTTGATTGATCAATACAATACTAATACCGATACAGAATATTGGAACAATTAAATTACTTGTTAAACTATTCATCGACCAATCGGGTAATTGATTATATCAACCTAGTCGGTTAAATTTAGCCGATTCCAATAAACTGAAATTTAAAGTTTTGATAAGTAAATTAATGTAAATAAACAAAATTTGTTATCATTTACAATAGAGAAACTTCGATAGCATTGGCGTATTAATGAATTCATGATATCCTACCAGTTAAGTTATATTAGTATATCGAACTGCACGAGCGAAAGATTATCTTAATATATATGATCTTATCTTATCATTAAATTAATGGGACTAAATTAATGGAACTAAATTAATGGAACTAAATTAATGGGGCTCTCGATTGTGCATCTTAAGTTACTTTTTTGAAATTTCAATCTAAAACAAGAAACAAAATACAACACATTATTAAAATAATTAAGTGTGTCGTTATAGTAGAATAATGCATAAATTATACTAAAATTTCAAGAATTTTTATTAGAATACGAAAGACGTTTATAAACAAACTTTTTTTAAGTTACTTTTGTTTTGTAGCTTAATTTGTTTTGATTGGTAAAAGAAAAGTGACATAATGCATTATCAAATCAAAGATAAGACAATGTCACCAACCTAAAAATTTCACTATCAATATTACTTAGTGTTAGGGTTTGGGTACATTTATGTTTTGATTTTATGTTACACCTGATCTTGAAATTAGTTTTGACTGGGTAGTGAAATTTTTTAAGTTGGTGATGCTTGCATGGTTAATCAGAGGCGACATGTATTATATACATGCCCAATCAAAACTTGTTGGAAAAATTAGGATTCCTTAAATTATATTACCGCAAGTAAAATGAATAAGAATTGTGTAATTTTTTGTTTTTTGTGCTTATTTAATCATTATCATAATACTATGATCACCATACCAAAATCACGGGGTTTTAATTAAAAATTCATATCGATATGTGCACAATCGGAACCTTCGCTCCGCCCCAATACTAATTAAACTCAGGAGTCTTATTAAAAATTACAAGTTTCACCATGAATTATCATAAAGTTATAAAGTTTAAGGGGATAAAATTTTAAATATATATGGATCACTATTTAAATTTTTTTAATTTGACTACATATATATAATTGTTAATTAATAGCATAATCTTCTAGTTTCATAAACATTTTTGTCATAAATTAAAATAAGATTTGGAATCATTTTTGGTTCTACATACAGTATGTATAAGCCTCACATACTATCACAGGGTCTGACAGCAACCGTTACCCTGCTCAAATGGGTATACTGTATATTTCTCCCTTCGCTTTGCTTATTTTAGTCAAAGGACCAATTATTGATTTTATTCTGCATTTTGCATGCAGTTAACAAATTTATCATTACATTTGTAACGAATGACTTATTTTATTACATTTTTTAATATTTACTTAAATTAACATATGTACGTACGTATGTATGTACTTATTTGCGCCCCGCCATTCCGATTCGTAACCTTAATTTTACTGGTATAGTAAAAAGTGATGGTATAATAGAAAATGATAGTATAATAGAAAATGATAGTGTAATAGAAAATGATAGTATAATAGAAAATGATAGTATAATAGAAAATGATAGTATAATAGAAAGATAGTATAATAAAAAGTGGTAATATAATTTATACTTGGCATAATTATGCCATCGTTTGATTTTTTCAACAAACTACTCATATTTTGTTGCCTACATCAAAAACCATCGGAATTGTTTGTACCCCCTGCTTCTTTAATCATGTGCTCAAACAAACCTATTTGATTGTCCAAACTGTTTTTTATTACCCATTTAGTATGGTATAATCCCAATGGCAAAAAAAACGTTCCAGCTCTAGCTCTCATAGGCAGAAGTTTGATTGGCTAATAAATTTTACATTATTTATACAGTTTAGAGTACCTTTTAAGAAACCGAAAACTAATTATAATGAAATAAAAAAAACTGCATAGAATGTTTCATTAGAGCTGTAGGGTTCCATAGCCAAAAATAATATCTAATTCTCGTTCGTTTAAAAAAGTTAGTTTAGTAGTAACTTCTAAAACCCGATAAAATCAACTTATTTCTAAACTAATTTTTTTAAACGGACGAGAATTAGATCCTATTTTTGACTGCGGAGTCCTGCAGCCCTAATGAAACATTCTATATAGTTTTTTTTTTTACTTTATTTTCGTTTTTTTAAAAAGTATACTAAACTGTATAAATAATGTAAAATTAAATTGAATTATTAGCCAATCAGACAAACGTCTGTTTATGACTCTAGATCGTTAGTCACACCTCATGTGATCAGTGTTGGACTATGACCCTTTATGACCTTTATGACCTATATGACTAGTCATAAGTCATTTGGTCATAAAAAGAGAATTATGACTTTATGACCTAATATAAAAAATAATTACAAAAATTAACCAATTAGAAAGTTCTATAACTAGTTATTAAATATACTAAATATTTATTTTAAGTTTGTATTTTAATATATATATTTATATAAAGAAGTAAAACAAATTCTGATGCCTAAACAAAATTGGTTCTAATAACTAAATTTTGTTTCTCAATCTTATTTTTTCTAAACATTTTTTATATTAAAAATCTAGATAAGAATAAAATAAATCTACACTATTATATACAGCATTTTGAATATACAGTATATATGTTGTAAGAGGATAATACGATCTGACCACAGACGCATGACTAAGAATTGTAACCAGAAATACGTAGCTACCAGCTTCAGGATCTTTAATTCGCGATGATCGATCGGCATGTAAAAAATAGCATTTAATAAACATATTTTGAGTTTGGTCAAAAGCAAAGCTCTTATAGAAAACAATTATCTAGTACTTTTGCTTATTGAATAGTATAAGCAAAGCTTATAGTTACATAAATAAGCATTGTTAGCCATAGATTCTATTCTGATGCCTTAAACAATCATATTAGGATTAGTTGCTAAGTATAATAATGAAGCTCTGATGTATCTATTATATATAAAAATCCTTCACTTCTATG